AACAACACCAGCAACAACACCAGCATCAACACCAGCATCAACACCAGCAACAACACCAGCAACAACACCAGCAACAACACCAGCATCAACACCAGCATCAACACCAGCATCAACACCAGCATCAACACCAGCATCAACACCAGCAGCAACAACACAGCAACAACACCAGCAACAACACCAGCATCAACACACAGCACCAACACCAGCATCAACACCAGCAACAACACCAGCATCAACACCAGCAACAACACCAGCAACAACACCAGCAACAACACCAGCATCAACACCAGCATCAACACCAGCATCAACACCAGCAACAACACACAGCAGCAACACCAGCAACAACACCAGCAACAACACCAGCATCAACACCAGCATCAACACCAGCAACAACACCAGCATCAACACCAGCATCAACACCAGCAACAACACCAGCATCAACACCAGCATCAACACCAGCAACAACACCAGCAACAACACCACCAGCAGCAACACCAGCATCAACACCAGCATCAACACCAGCAACAACACCAGCATCAACACCAGCATCAACACCAGCATCAACACCAGCATCAACACCAGCATCAACACCAGCAACACACACACAACACCAGCAACACAGCAGCATCAACACCAGCAACAACACCAGCACAACACCAGCAACAACACCAGCAACAACACCAGCATCAACACCAGCATCAACACCAGCAAACAACACCAGCATCAACACCAGCATCAACACCAGCAACAACACCAACAACACAACACCAGCATCAACACCAGCATCAACACCAGCATCAACACCAGCATCAACACCAGCAACAACACCAGCAACAACACCAGCATCAACACCAGCAACAACACAACACCAGCAACAACACCAGCATCAACACCAGCATCAACACCAGCATCAACACCAGCATCAACACCAGCAACAACCACCAGCAACAACACCAGCATCAACACCAGCATCAACACCACCAGCAACAACACCAGCAACAACACCAGCAACAACACCACAACAGCACAACAGCAGCAACAACACCAGCAACAACACCAGCATCAACACCAGCAACAACACCAGCATCAACACCAGCATCAACACCAGCAACAACACCAGCAACAACACCAGCATCAACACCAGCAACAACACCAGCAACAACACCAGCAACAACACCAGCAACAACACCAGCAACAACACCAGCAACAACACCAGCAGCAACAACACCAGCAACAACACCAGCACCAACACCAGCATCAACACCAGCAACACCAGCACAACACCAGCAACAACACCAGCAACAACACCAGCAACAACACCAGCAACAACACCAGCAACAACACCAGCAACAACACCAGCAAACACCAGCACAACACCAGCAACAACACCAGCAACAACACCACCAGCAACAACACCAGCAACAACAACAGCATCAACACCAGCAACAACACCAGCAACAACACCAGCAACAACACCAGCATCAACACCACAACAACACCAGCATCAACACCAGCAAACACCACAACAACACCAGCAACAACACCAGCAACAACACCAGCAGCAACACCAGCAACAACACCAGCAACAACACCAGCAACAACACCAGCATCAACACCAGCAACACCAGCAACAACACCAGCAACAACACCAGCAACAACACCAGCAACAACACCAGCAACAACACCAGCAACAACACAACACCAGCAACAACACCAGCAACAACACCAGCATCAACAACCAGCAACAACACCAGCATCAACACCAGCAACAACACCAGCATCAACACCAGCAACAACACCAGCATCAACACCAGCAACAACACCAGCATCAACACCAGCAACAACACCAGCATCAACACCAGCAACAACACCAGCATCAACACAATTCTCACATTTACATAAAGACGTTGAAATGGAAAATGTCCTGAATAAAACCTGAATATTGAATCAAATTTGTGTTGTGTAATTTGCTGGCAAATGATCGCAATGTGTAATGTGGGAGATGGGAGGGATGTGGGAGATGGGAGAGATGTGGGAGACGAGAGGGATGTGGGAGAAGGGAGAGATGTGGGAGACGGGAGGGATGTGGGAGATGGGAGGGATGTGGGAGACGAGAGGGATGTGGGAGAAGGGAGGGATGTGGGAGACGAGAGGGATGGGGGAGATGGGAGGGATGTGGGAGAAGGGTGGGAGAGATGAGAGGTGAAGGGATGGGGTAGAGAGGTGAGGATAGAGAAGGGCCTCGCTGCTGGCTTATGACCCATTGCTGCCTGATGTGTTTGTTAATTAAATTTGTAATTCCTTCCTGTATAAATTTTGAAAGATGTTGACTGATGACAACAGCAAGATTAGAGAGAGAGAGAGAGAGAGAGAGAGAGAGAGAGAGAGAGAGAGAGAGAGAGAGAGAGAGAGAGAGAGAGAGAGAGAGAGAGAGAGAGAGAGAGAGAGAGTGAAAGTGAAAGTGAGAGAGAGAGAGAAATTCTGTCATAGCTGATCTGCCAGCAAGTATAAATCATATTCTTTCAGATACAGTCAAACAAGTACTGTTTGACCTAGATATGAAATAGATATTTCATCCATGCTTAAGTTTCACTAAATGCTCACTATCACTTCAAGACGAACTAAATAGGATTTTGAAATGGTCAAAAGATTGGCAGATGCAGTTTAATGCTGATAAATGTAAGGTTTTGAGGCTAGGTAATGAAAATAGAGTTACAAGATACGAGCTAGATGGTGTTGAGATTGTGAAGTCGGATTGTGAAAGAGATCTGGGAATTATGATTAGTAAGAAATTAAAAACAAAAAATCAATGCATGAATGTTCGTAATAAGGCAAATTAGGACACTGCTTTCCTTTAATATCTGAACTCAAAACTCTTATTAATGCCTTTCGACAAACTAACACACTTCGTAGCAATCTAGTTCACACTGCTCCTGCTTCTAATGTTATTGGTGTCTACGTTATTTCCTGTTAGTCTTGTCCTCTCCAATACTTTGGTGAAACTGGCCGGACACTGAATGACAGACTTAAAGAACACAAGAGAAGTGTTAAGTCTACAGACACTAACAATGCTCTCTTCTGCCATGATAGGGATTCTAATCATCCTATTGATTGGTCTTCCTCTAAAATAATCTTTCCTGCCTCTACTCTACACAGACGCCGTCTTGTCGAGTTGGCTCTGATACACAACCTTCCCAACATGAACCTGAGTCCTGGCTTTGTTGCTGTTGAATCTTCCCTTTCACAGTACATAAGAACATAAGAACAAAGGTAACTGCAGAAGGCCTATTGGCCCATACGAGGCAGCTCCTATCTATAACCACCCAATCCCACTCATAAACATGTCCAACCCGCGCTTGAAACAATCGAGGGACCCCATCTCCACCACGTTACGCGGTAATTTGTTCCACAAATCAACAACCCTGTTACCGAATATTTATCGAATATTTATTATTTATTTATTTATTTATCGGTATTTATCGAAGTCTTTCCTAAATCTAAATATATATTTACAGTATATACTCAAATGTTCTAAACTTTCTAACAAACGTGACCTAACATAAGCCTACCTATCCTTTTTCTCTTTTTTGTCTTTACTTTTTTCTTTCTCTTGTTTCTCTTACGTTCCCATTCTTACATCTTTTATTACACCTTATCTTCCGTACCTTTTGCCTTGCTCTTATCTTCCTGTAAGGTTTCCATCTCCTCATCTCTCTCTCTTCCCTAACTTAATGTCCTTGCCTCCCTCGTCTCCACTTACGGGCTATTCATGCCCGTGCCACCTCCTGGGTGGCTTAATCTTCATCAATCAATCCCTCGTCTCATCACCGCTCCTGTGCCAGGTAAGTCCACTACGGGCTCACCATAGCCCGTGCTACTTGGAACTTGTTCCGAGTAGCTGAATCTATAACAACAACATCGTCTCATCACAATGGACTTGATAATGGTCCATGACGGACCGAAACGTCGTCGTCTTCACAATTTCTAGTGTGGGTTTGTTCAACATGACACTGGGATTTATTAATCGCAGCGTTAGTAACAAGACACCTGGTGTGGTTCTTCAGCTATATCTTGCTCTGGTTAGGCCCCATTTAGATTATGCAGTTCAGTTTTGGTCGCCGTACTATAGAATGGATATAAATTCACTTGAACGTGTCCAGCGTAGGATGACTAAGTTAATCCCCCAAATTAGAAACCTGTCATATGAAGAAAGATTAACAAAGCTTAAATTGCATTTTCTAGAAAGGCGAAGAGTTAGAGGTGACATGATAAAGGTTTTCAAGTGGATAAATGGACATAACAAAGGGTATATTAATAGGGTATTAAAAATATCAACACAAGACAGAACATGAAACAATGTATATAAATTAGATAAATTTAGATTTAGGAAAGACCGGGGTAAATACTGGTTCGGTAACAGGGTTTTTGATTTGTGGAACCAATTACCGCGTAATGTAATAGAAGTAGGATCCCTGATTGTCTTAAGCGTAGGATAGACATATATATATATATATATAAATGAGATTGGGTGGCTATAAATAGGAGCTGCCTCGTATGGGCCAATAGGCCTTCTGCATTTATCTTCATTCTTGTATTCTTAACGAGTGTCTAGGGACAGGGTTCAGATGAGCTGATAAGATAAACTGATAAGAGCTGCTCTAAGAGCTGCTCTCAGAGCTCTTAGCTTGCAGTTTCCTTAGGAACATCAGCACAATTATTAACACTACCTTGCTGTTAGCACGCCGTCACCTTGTGGATATCTTTCGAGGGTTCCGAGGATCAACGTCCCGGCGGCCCGGTCTGTGACCAGGCCTTCTAAGAAGCAGAGTAAAGAGAGAAGGGATGGAGGGAAGATGAGGGTGTGGGGGGGGCTGGGGGGGGCTGGGGGGGGGGCAAGGGGGGGGCTGGGGGGGGAGAAACCAGACACTGGCATAAGAATACTGCAGCATAAAGATGAACAATACTAAGCGTCTTAGCTCTAGCTGGAACATATATTCCAGACAGCATCCGGTGCGGCATCTCCCGAGACAGCATCTGGTGCAGCATCTCCCGAGACAGCATCTGGTGCAGCATCTCCCGAGACAGCATCTCCCGAGACAGCATCTCCCGAGACAGTATCTCCCGAGACAGCATCTCCCGAGACAGTATCTCCCGAGACAGCATCTCCCGAGACAGTATCTCCCGAGACAGCATCTAGTGCAGCATCTCCCGAGACAGCATCTGGTGCAGCATCTCCCGAGACAGTATCTCCCGAGACAGCATCTAGTGCAGCATCTCCCGAGACAGCATCTGGTGCAGCATCTCCCGAGACAGCATCCTGTGCGGCATCTCCCGAGACAGCATCTCCCGAGACAGTATCTCCCGAGACAGCATCTAGTGCAGCATCTCCCGAGACAGCATCTGGTGCAGCATCTCCCGAGACAGCATCTAGTGCAGCATCTCCCGAGACAGCATCTCCCGAGACAGCATCTCCCGAGACAGCATCCGGTGCAGCATCTCAACAACTCTCAAGGATCCACCACAAAGAAAATAAGGTAAATTACATTCCACTAATTTCCCCATCCAGAAAATGTAACTTTGATAACTCTCCACCCCCCCCTACCATCCCCCCTTCACCCTTAACAACATTCCCCCCCCCCATTACCTTGAGATGGTGGGGTTTGGGCCCCCTCCCCCCCCCCCCCAAATCCTTCCCACAGGTCAGGTGTATTTGTGTACTTCCGAAAATACTCCCTCAGAGCTCAAACGTTAAATGAAACTTAGCTTGGAAGAGCTCTCTCGCGTGCGTGTGCGTGCGTGCGCACACACACACACACACACACACACACACACACACACACACACACACACACACACACACACACACACACACACACACACACACACACACATACACACATACAAGTGTCAGGAGGCAGTAAACAAGTTTATCTTAGCCCGACAAGAAAAAACCGAGAAGCAAAGGAAGAATCCGTGGTTTAATAGGGAATGTATGAAAGCAAAGGAACTGAACAAAAGGGCATGGAGGAACTTCCGTAATAACAGAACACCTGAAAGTAGAGAGAGATACCAGAGAACCAGGAACGAGTATGTCAGTGTGAGAAGAGCAGCTGAGAAAAGGTATGAAAATGATATAGCTAATAAAGCCAAGACTGAACCAAAGCTACTACACAGTCACATCAGGAGGAAGACAACAGTGAAGGAACAGGTGATGAAACTTAGAACGGGTGAGAACAGGTACACAGAGAATGACAAAGAGGTGTGTGAAGAACTCAACAAAAGGTTCCAGGAGGTCTTTACAATAGAACAAGGAGAGGTCACGGCGCTATGAGAGGTGGCAGCAAACCAGGCGACCTTGGAAGGGTTCGAAATTACAAAAGATGAGGTCAAGAGGCACCTATTGGAGCTGGATGTTAGAAAGGCTGTTGGGCTGGACGGAATCTCACCATGGGTATTGAAAGAGTGTGCAAGAGCACTTTGTTTGCCACTCTCCATAGTGTATAGTAGGTCACCGGATACGGGAGACCTACCAGAAATATGGAAGACGGCTAATGTAGTCCCAATATACAAAAAGGGTGACAGACAGGAGGCACTGAACCACAGGCCAGTGTCCTTAACTTGTATACCATGCAAGGTGATGGAGAAGATTGTGAGAAAAAACCTAGTAACACATCTGGAGAGAAGAGACTTCGTGACAACCCATCAACATGGGTTCAGGGAGGGTAAATCTTGCCTTACAGGCTTAAGGGGGCGTTTCATCCAAATTTGCTCAAAATATGCAATAAATGAAAACTGGTTCAATTTCAATCAAACTTTTTTGACGTGTTGTACATGAAAAGAGTTTCATCTGGCCCAAGTCTCAGCATCGTAGCATAAAGAGGAAGGGAGAACAAAAATATTGAAGGTGTCAAAAATTTTCCAAAATGGTCAAAAACGATTATCAAACACAAGTGTCAACTGAAATCATAGCTATGACTCTCAGCTATCACAATAATATATATTAAAAAAATATTATAATTAGTTTTATTAGAAAAAAATTTAAGTTAAAAAAAAATCATTTTTTTTTATCAGACGATTTGCATGAAACTGGTTGATGTCAACTTCAGCCACAGATGGCAGCACCTTAGACTATATTATTTTCGTATTTATTTTCAAGTAACATAAACGTTCATATAACTTTTTCATTTTTTTATTCAATTTACATGAAACTTACACCTTATATGTAAAGTGTATGTCTCTAAAATCGGCAGTGGGCGTTTTTTTCTAAGTTCATTTATGGATTTTATAATAGAAATAAACATGACATATTTGCATAATTTGGGGGGGGGAGGTTTGACTATTTGCATTAGGAAAACTAAAGATGGTTTGGAAACTATCTCATTACCAGTTCAGTAGAACTTCGGTTTCAACTCTTTTAACCCTGTCGTAGCTCAGTCGATTTAGGCAGTGCCCCGTTCCATCACAAATCCTTATCCTGACCCCTTCCCAGTGCTATATAATCGTAATGGCTTGGCGCTTTCCCCCTGATGATTCCCGCCCCGCCCTCCCCCCTTGGGTCCTAGGTAGAAACCCCCCCCCCCGGGACCTGGGGGAGGGACCCCTGTGGTACAGGGGGGGGGGGCTGCCACCCCCACCACACCATTGATGACAACGGTAGACAACGGGCACCCAGGGTAGATGTATCTACCTCGGTGTATCTACATCCAACAGAAGCTGCAACAGCACATTCCAGCGAACGCTTCCAGCAGTCCCGTCTGGCGCTGGGGGGACCCTTTGCCTGGGTGAAGAAAATATATGGCATTCTCCTACCATTGTGGTTTCCGCGAGGCAGCAACACCTTACTCGACCCCCTCCCACACCTGCTCCGCGAGACACATACCTGAAAAGAAACAGGCACACTGAAATTAATGAGCCAAGAACCCATGCAGTTACCGATGACGTTAATTCAAAAGTCACAACATTGTTCACTCGGTGAGTAAAATGAACATGATTTATTGAGTGAATAGGATGAACAACTCTCATTAATCACATCAGGCAGCCAGCTGTAACACCGTGACGCAGCCAGCTGTAACACCGTGACGCAGCCAGCTGTAACACCGTGACGCAGCCAGCTGTAACACCGTGACACAGCCAGCTGTAACACCGTGACACAGCCAGCTGTAACACCGTGGCACAGCCAGCTGTAACACCGTGACACAGCCAGCTGTACCACCGTGACGAAGCCAGCTGTAACAACGTGACACAGCCAGCTGTACCACCGTGACACAGCCAGCTGTAACACCGTGACACAGCCAGCTGTAACACCGTGACACAGCCAGCTGTAACACCGTGACACAGCCAGCTGTAGCACCGTGACACAGCCAGCTGTAACACCGTGACACAGCCAGCTGTAACACCGTGACACAGCCAGCTGTACCACCGTGACACAGCCAGCTGTAACACCGTGACACAGCCAGCTGTAACACCGTGACACAGCCAGCTGTACCACCGTGACACAGCCAGCTGTAACACCGTGACACAGCCAGCTGTAACACCGTGACACAGCCAGCTGTACCACCGTGACACAGCCAGCTGTAACACCGTGACACAGCCAGCTGTAACACCGTGACACAGCCAGCTGTAACACCGTGACACAGCCAGCTGTAACACCGTGACACAGCCAGCTGTACCACCGTGACACAGCCAGCTGTAACACCGTGACACAGCCAGCTGTAACACCGTGACACAGCCAGCTGTAACACCGTGACACAGCCAGCTGTACCACCGTGACACAGCCAGCTGTACCACCGTGACACAGCCAGCTGTAACACCGTGACACAGCCAGCTGTAACACCGTGACACAGCCAGCTGTACCACCGTGACACAGCCAGCTGTAACACCGTGACACAGCCAGCTGTACCACCGTGACACAGCCAGCTGTAACACCGTGACACAGCCAGCTGTAACACCGTGACACAGCCAGCTGTAACACCGTGACACAGCCAGCTGTAACACCGTGACACAGCCAGCTGTAACACCGTGACACAGCCAGCTGTACCACCGTGACACAACCAACTGTAACACCGTGACGCAGCCAGCTGTACCACCGTGACACAGCCAGCTGTAACACCGTGACACAGCCAGCTGTAACACCGTGACACAGCCAGCTGTAACACCGTGACACAGCCAGCTGTAACACCGTGACACAGCCAGCTGTAACACCGTGACACAGCCAGCTGTAACACCGTGACACAGCCAGCTGTAACACCGTGACACAGCCAGCTGTAACACCGTGACACAGCCAGCTGTACCACCGTGACACAGCCAGCTGTAACACCGTGACACAGCCAGCTGTAACACCGTGACACAGCCAGCTGTAACACCGTGACACAGCCAGCTGTAACACCGTGACACAACCAGCTGTAACACCGTGACACAGCCAGCTGTAACACCGTGACACAACCAGCTGTAACACCGTGACACAGCCAGCTGTACCACCGTGACGCAGCCAACTGTACCACCGTGACGCAGCCAGCTGTACCACCGTGACGCAGCCAGCTGTAACACCGTGACGCAGCCAGCTGTAACACCGTGACACAGCCAGCTGTACCACCGTGACACAGCCAGCTGTAACACCGTGACACAGCCAGCTGTAACACCGTGACACAGCCAGCTGTAACACCGTGACACAGCCAGCTGTAACACCGTGACACAGCCAGCTGTAACACCGTGACACAGCCAGCTGTAACACCGTGACACAGCCAGCTGTAACACCGTGACAGACCAACAACAAGGGGCTGCACGACCCTACTGGAGTGTACATAAGAGAAAGTAATATAATATGACATGATTAACACCAATAACAGTCAATAAAGGTCAATATGAGAGATGGTGTGCAAGGAGGAGGGAGGCGTGTGTGTGGGGGGGGTGAAGGCCCCCTGGGCCCCCCGTGGAGGGGGTGAACGCCCCCTGGTCCCGCAGTGTTGGGGGGGGGGCTGGAAGGATGCCAGCACACACACACCAACACCGTGTTCAATAACACCTGACTCCCTACACCTCAGTCCTTATACCCGACTCGCTTCACACCCGAATAAAACATGTCTTTTACATATATCAAAATACTTCTACCTATCATATCTGCCAAAATAGGCAAATATATGTGTTCATGGCTTACAGACGAAATAGAGACCCGGGCGTTTCCGGCCTGCTACCCTCTTCTAGTAGATATATGAACTTTCTCAAGGAATTGGGTTCTAGGCTCGATGAGCACTGGAAGATGCCCAAGAGCAGCCAGTTTCCTGTTTCAGCGCCTCAGTGTCGCGATCCAGAGAGGAGAACTCTATGTTGAGTCCTTCCTGGCTACACACAGTCGAACACATTCTCTACTTTTGACCAGTCATTGTAATCCTTAATCCCAGTTAAATTACTTGCAGAGGTTATCATATTAACACAAAACAATCTTAGATAACACAGAGCGAGACGAAACTATCCATGATAACAGCAGGAGACAATCACTGTCCCGTTATCACTCCTAGAAGAAATTCTATTCTGAATCGACCGAAGCACCGATGATATCCTCTTTAACCCCCTAACACCGCATTGGTAAGCCCACACCACCTGCCACCACCACCTGCCCGCTGGCAGCCACCACCACCTGCCTGCTGGCAGCCACCACCACCTGCCTGCTGGCAGCCACCACCACCTGCCTGCTGGCAGCCACCACCACCTGCCCGCTGGCAGCCACCACCACCTGCCTGCTGGCAGTCACCACCACCTGCCCGCTGGCAGCCACCACCACCTGCCTGCTGGCAGCCACCACCACCTGCCCGCTGGCAGCCACCACCACCTGCCTGCTGGCAGCCACCACCACCTGCCTGCTGGCAGCCACCACCACCTGCCTGCTGGCAGCCACCACCACCTGCCTGCTGGCAGCCACCACCACCTGCCCGCTGGCAGCCACCACCACCTGCCTGCTGGCAGCCACCACCACCACCTGCCACCACCACCTGCCTGCTGGCAGCCACCACCACCTGCCTGCTGGCAGCCACCACCACCTGCCCGCTGGCAGCCACCACCACCTGCCTGCTGGCAGCCACCACCACCACCTGCCACCACCACCTGCCTGCTGGCAGCCACCACCACCTGCCCGCTGGCAGCCACCACCACCACCTGCCACCACCACCTGCCCGCTGGCAGCCACCACCACCTGCCTGCTGGCAGCCACCACCACCACCTGCCACCACCACCTGCCTGCTGGCAGCCACCACCACCTGCCTGCTGGCAGCCACCACCACCTGCCCGCTGGCAGCCACCACCACCTGCCTGCTGGCAGCCACCACCACCACCTGCCCGCTGGCAGCCACCACCACCTGCCTGCTGGCAGCCACCACCACCTGCCTGCTGGCAGCCACCACCACCACCTGCCACCACCACCTGCCTGCTGGCAGCCACCACCACCTGCCTGCTGGCAGCCACCACCACCTGCCCGCTGGCAGCCACCACCACCTGCCTGCTGGCAGCCACCACCACCACCTGCCACCACCACCTGCCACCACCACCTGCCTGCTGGCAGCCACCACCACCTGCCCGCTGGCAGCCACCACCACCTGCCTGCTTGCAGCCACCACCACCTGCCCGCTGGCAGCCACCACCACCTGCCCGCTGGCAGCCACCACCACCTGTACCACACACAGCTGGCTACCCACGGTCTCGCTTAAGTCCACATAATTGTCTACAACAACGAGGAAATAACGATATCCACGACCATTACCAGACGGTGAACGTGCCTAGGTGTCGGGGCACTGTCCGGCACTAGCTGAGGGCCAGGGGCACTGTCCGACACTGGCTGAGGGCCAGGGGCACTGGCTGAGACCCAGGGGCACTGTCCGACACTGGCTGAGGCCCAGGGGCACTGTCCGACACTCGCTGAGGGCCAGGGGAACTGTCCGACACTCGCTGAGGGCCAGGGGCACTGTCCGACACTCGCTGAGGGCCAGGGGAACTGTCCGACACTCGCTGAGGGCCAGGGGCACTGTCCGACACTGGCTGAGGCCCAGGGGCACTGTCCGACACTGGCTGAGGCCCAGGGGCACTGTCCGACACTGGCTGAAGGCCAGGGGCACTGTCCGACACTGGCTGAGGCCCAGGGGCACTGTCCGACACTGGCTGAGGCCCAGGGGCACTGTCCGACACTGGCTGAGGCCCAGGGGCACTGTCCGACACTGGCTGAAGGCCAGGGGCACTGTCCGACACTGGCTGAGGCCCAGGGGCACTGTCCGACACTGGCTGAGGGCCAGGGGCACTGTCCGACACTGGCTGAGGGCCAGGGGCACTGTCCGACACTGGCTGAGGCCCAGGGGCACTGTCCGACACTGGCTGAGGGCCAGGGGCACTGTCCGACACTGGCTGAGGGCCAGGGGCACTGTCCGACACTGGCTGAGGCCCAGGGGCACTGTCCGACACTGGCTGAGGCCCAGGGGCACTGTCCGACACTGGCTGAGGGCCAGGGGCACTGTCCGACACTGGCTGAGGGCCAGGGGCACTGTCCGACACTGGCTGAGGCCCAGGGGCACTGTCCGACACTGGCTGAGGCCCAGGGGCACTGTCCGACACTGGCTGAGGGCCAGGGGCACTGTCCGACACTGGCTGAGGGCCAGGGGCACTGTCCGACACTGGCTGAGGGCCAGGGGCACTGTCCGACACTGGCTGAGGGCCAGGGGCACTGTCCGACACTGGCTGAGGGCCAGGGGCACTGTCCGACACTGGCTGAGGCCCAGGGGCACTGTCCGACACTGGCTGAGGCCCAGGGGCACTGTCCGACACTGGCTGAGGGCCAGGGGCAGGGGCACTGTCCGACACTGGCTGAGGGCCAGGGGCACTGTCCGACACTGGCTGAGGCCCAGGGGCACTGTCCGACACTGGCTGAGGCCCAGGGGCACTGTCCGACACTGGCTGAGGGCCAGGGGCACTGTCCGACACTGGCTGAGGGCCAGGGGCACTGTCCGACACTGGCTGAGGGCCAGGGGCACTGTCCGACACTGGCTGAGGGCCAGGGGCACTGTCCGACACTGGCTGAGGGCCAGGGGCACTGTCCGGCACTGGCTGAGGGCCAGGGGCACTGTCCGACACTGGCTGAGGGCCAGGGGAACTGTCCGACACTGGCTGAAGGCCAGGGGAACTGTCCGACACTGGCTGAGGGCCAGGGGAACTGTCCGACACTGGCTGAGGGCCAGGGGCACTGTCCGACACTGGCTGAGGGCCAGGGGCACTGTCCGGCACTTGCTGGGTGCCAGAGTGAAAGTATAAGTGGTGTATTAAGGCAGGTAATAAAGTTATACTGTTGTGAAGGTAGCCGTCCTCGGGGAGCTGTACCTCGCTCACACAGCTCCTTAGAATTACCCACAGGCCAGACGCTCCGGGCTAGCCCCACCCAATTTTCCAAGATGACACATGAGGGGTGTGTGAGTGTCATAGGCCTCATTAGGTCGGCCCCCAGTGTCACCCCTTTAAGAAATATCCGCATCTATGATTCACCGGGGCCCTATGATTTTCATGGTCTGAAATCAGTGGTGTGTTTTCCGTAGAGATTTTTACATTTTTCAGTGCTTATGATTTGGCATGTAGCTTTTATAGAAATAATATCTGCACAAAGTCTGTCAGTGTCAGGTTAAACAACTGGCTGACCTCCACACAAGCAGAACTAGCAGCATTACAACTAGCTACCAGTACATTAAAAAATATTGGAGGAGGAATAATATTCTGCGATTCAAAGTCTGCTCTTCAAGCAATCGAAAACTTCTCTTGGAAGATCGACAGCAAGAACCTCATACTCCCAATTATAAATGACCTAATTGATGCACAGAGTAAAGGGTCTCGAATCTCCTTTGTATGGATACCTTCACACATAAATATAACCCATCATAATGAGACAGACATTGCAGCCAAATTAGCGTGTAACAAGTCTGAAGTTGAATTAGATCTAGGTATCCCCATCTCTGCTGTCAAAACTGTATTGGTCCAAACACTCAGATCTGATAGGAAAGAACTTACTGACTCCCAACGACCTGAAAGTACTAGTATAAAAAGCTATGATTTGTTCAGATCTGAAACCTATATCTATGGACAGCACAAAACGTCCACTAGACTGTGCGACACAGTGGTTGCCAGGATCAGGTTGGGTTACCGTTACCTGTGGCAGGTGGCTGCAGGTGACGGGTCTCCCAATCCTGAGCACTCCAGTTGCAAACTCTGTGAGCAGGAACTGCGGCATGATCTCCCGCACTACATCACTGAATGCCCAGTTATTAGACCTTTCAGACCAGTTGGCATGAGGTACCTGGAGCTTTGCAATTACTTTATTCACTTTCGTATTCTTGAAGATATCCTCACAGTATACCCAAAATTTGCCAGTGCAGGCTATTAAACACATGGCTCTGTATGACTAACCATCCTGCGAGATGGGAACTTGTATTACCACTGCTACCTTACTCACTCTTGTGTTGTTGATATCCTCAAAATGCATCCGGAGTCTGCCAGTGCAGACCGCTTATCACATGTCTCTGTATGATTAACCATCCGGGGATTTTATAGCATCACCTAGTTAGCTTTTTTGACACACTGTACTCCACTTCATATAGTCTAGGGTAGCTGCACTAATGCAGTTGTACCTCATATCTTAATAAAAAAAATCATAATAAGGCTGTTTTATAACGAAATAGGAGCAAAACTTGTGGCTGGTGTCGGGGCCCTCGGCCGTCCACTAGTACTGCCAAGCTTGTCTTGAGTTCGCTCTGAAATTGGCATATTTCAGGGCGAAATAAAATAGTTTTACGTTCTACACTCAGCATCAACATTATAATAAACATATATATGTTTTTCGTTTCCTCTATAAATGTAGGAATCTCTGGGTGGCTTTGGGTCGTTTTGGGTGGCTTTCGGTGTCTGGGGATGATGCCTTTGGGTGGGTATGGGTGGCTAGGGATGGGTTTTGGTGGCTTTGAGTGGCTAGGGGTGGGTTTGGGTGGCTGGGGATGCCTTTGGGTTGCTTTGGGTGGGTATGGGTGGCTAGGAGTGGGTTTGGGTGGCAGGGGATGCCTTTGGGTGGCTGGGGATGCCTTTGGGTGGCTAGGGATGGGTTTGGGTGGCTGGGGATGCCTTTGGGTGGCTAGGGATGGGTTTGGGTACTTGTATGGAGGGAGGCGGGAGGACCAAGAGACGCGGCCGCCCTCCGATCAATCGTTCACCTTTGCTTTGCCAACAGAGCTAAATAAGTGATGACATTTCACCACCAAAGATTCTCAGTAATGATTCTCAATTCCCGCCCAAGATGACTGGAAGTCAGCCACCATTAACCCTGACCCGCGACGCCCTATACTCGACCCTATACGCAAACTATCGACGCTTTATTGACCCAATATTATAGTTGTTGGAGTGACCTGAGGCAGGGATCACACACACACACACACACACACACACACACACACACACACACACACACACACACACGTGTGTGTGTGTGTGTGTTAAGGCCAGTGTCCTTAACTTGTCTACCATGCAAGGTGATGGAGAAGATCGTGAGAAAAAACCTAGTAACACATCTGGAGAGAAGGGGCTTCGTGACAACCCATCAACATGGGTTCAGGGAGGGTAAATCTTGCCTTACAGGCTTAATAGAATTCTACGATCAGGTGACAAAGATTAAGCAAGAAAGAGAAGGTTGGGCGGACTGCATTTTTTTGGATTGTCGGAAAGCCTTTGACACAGTACCCCATAAAAGGTTGATGCATAAGCTGGAGAAACAGGCAGGAGTAACTGGTAGGGCGCTCCAGTGGATAAGGGAGTACCTAAACAATAGGAAGCAGAGAGTTACAGTGAGGGGTGAGACCTCAGACTGGCGTGAAGTCACCAGTGGAGTCCCACAGGGCTCTGTACTTGGCCCTATCCTGTTTCTGATATACGTAAATGATCTCCCAGAGGGTATAGACTCATTCCTCTCAATGTTTGCTGACGACGCCAAAATTATGAGAAGGATTAAGACAGAGGAGGACAGCTTGAGGCTTCAAGAAGACCTGGACAAGCTGCAGGAATGGTCGAACAAATGGCTGTTAGAGGTTAACCTAAGCAAATGTAATGTAATGAAGATAGGTGTAGGAAGCAGGAGGCCAGATACAAGGTATCATCTGGGAGATGAGATACTTCAAGAGTCAGAGAGAAAGACCTGGGGGTTGATATCACGCCAGACCTATCCCCTGAAGCTCATATCAAGAGGATAACATCAGCGGCATATGCCAGGTTGGCTAACATAAGAACGGCCTTTAGAAACTTGTGTAAGGAATCTTTCAGAACATTATATACCACATATGTCAGACCAATCCTGGAGTATGCGGCCCCAGCATGGAGTACATATCTAGTCAAGGATAAGACTAAACTGGAAAAGATTCAAAGGTTTGCCACGAGACTAGTACCCGAGCTGAGAGGTATGAGCTACGAGGAGAGACTACGGGAATTAAACCTCACGTCACTGGGAGACAGAAGAGTTAGGGGGGACATGATCACCACATACAAGATTCTCAGAGGAATTGATAGGATAGATAAAGACAGTCTATTTAACACAAGGGGCACACGCACTAGGGGACACAGGTGGAAACTGAGTACCCAAATGAGCCATAGAGACGTTAGAAAGTTTTTTTCAGTCTCAGAGTGGTAGACAAATGGAATGCATTTGGAAGTGATGTGGTGGAGGCTGACTCCATACACAGTTTCAAGTGTATTATGATAGAGCCCAATAGGCTCAGGAACCTGTACACCTGTTGATTGACAGTTGAGAGGCGGGACCAAAGAGCCAGAGCTCAACACCCGCAAGCACAATTAGGTGAGTACACACACACAAACAATTGCCCATACCCTCCCCCGCAGCACCTCCCTCCTCCCCTCCCTTTCCTCTCATTCCCCCCCCCCTCTTCCCTCCATACATGCCCCCCCCCCTCCCTCACCCCAGGCCTCGCCCACCTCCCCTGCAACACGTATATAACAGGTATGACACATCATGGATCCAAAACTTGTCGCTTGGATAACTAAATGTTGCCCCGATGGCTGGGTGGTGATTGGGGGGGAGCAGTTGTTTGCTTGTGATTACTTGACCCTAATCTTGAGGAGGTGAGCCTTGAGGAGGTGAGCCTTGAGGGGGTGAGCCTTGAGGGGGTGAGCCTTGAGGAGGTGAGCCTTGAGGAGGTGAATCTTGAGGGGGTGAGCCTTGAGGAGGTGAGTCTTGAGGGGGTGAGCCTTGAGGGGGTGAGCCTTGAGGAGGTGAGCCTTGAGGAGGTGAATCTTGAGGGGGTGAGCCTTGAGGAGGTGAGTCTTGAGGGGGTGAGCCTTGAGGGGGTGAGCCTTGAGGAGGTGAGTCTTGAGGGGGTGAGTCTTGAGGAGGTGAGCCTTGCAAGGAGTGGTGGGGATAGAGGAGGTTCTGCTATTGTCAACACCAGGCCGTCTTCTCCAGAGTGGGAGTAATGCCGCTCTGTGGGCTTCCTCATTCTCTGCTGCTGCTGCTACTGCTGCTGCTGCTGCTGGTGCTGCTGCTGCTGGTGCTGCTGCAACACAGGTGTATTGCGTGGAGGGGGTGGGGAAGGAACACCTGGAGCACATACAAGCCTCCACAGTGACGGTGGCGGAGGTCAGGTAACACAGTAACTGGTCCTCCTTCCACACGACCAAACCCTACAGGTGACCTCCATTAAACACCATCCCAGCATCTCTCCCTGCCGCTACCGGTGATTATGCCAACACATTTATACCTTGTTAATACTAATAATAACAAAGTGACAGATAGAGGGGGGACACCCCCTCTCCCCCCCCCGCCGGGGGTCAGAGTGAGCCACGGTGCCAGCAGGTGCCACGCTAATTACCGGTGGGCGTGTCCAGAGACACACGTAATGGTACCTGGGAGTCCCAGGTGTCTGTGTGGGAGAGGGGGGCTGGTGTCTGTGTGGGAGAGGGGGGCTGGTGTCTGTGTGGGAGAGGGGGGCTGGTGCCTGTGTGGGAGAGGGGGGCTGGTGTCTGTGTGGGAGAGGGGGGCTGGTGTCTGTGTGGGAGAGGGGGGCTGGTGTCTGTGTGGGAGAGGGGGGCTGGTGTCTGTGTGGGAGAGGGGGGGCTGGTGTCTGTGTGGGAGAGGGGGACTGGTGTCTGTGTGGGAGAGGGGGGCTGGTGTCTGTGTGGGAGAGGGGGGCTGGTGTCTGTGTGGGAGAGGGGGGCTGGTGTCTGTGTGGGAGAGGGGGGGCTGGTGTCTG